CTAAGAAACACTACAATACTTCCTCCTAGTAACAATACTCTTCCATAAATTGATAACCACAATGTGTAACCCTGCACTCTCAAAATATCGCTCAAAATTCAATAAACTCCATCCAACACCAGGAATAATAGACTTCATTCCAACCAATTTGAATTCATATAATTCCTATAATCACAAACTTCCTCTATCAAAACACACATACACAACTCTCAATAAATAACAATCATAATCTTCCATCCATAATCAATATTCCAATAACTTCTCATATAATTCAATCACTCAGTACTCCAATTACATAATCAATAACTCATAAATCAATCTCTGATTTATTCCACAAACTCACTTCTCAGTATTTAGAAACTATCTATTACTCTTCAACAACAAAGAAAATAAAATAAAACAAAGAGGAAGCACCAAACTTAACCCCGACTCATGACTATCACAGTCTGGCACCCCGACAAACTTCTACAACTCTTATATAATTGCTATTGATTTCCAAATTCTAACCGTAATCCTATAATAACCGCTTCTAATAACTGAATCAATCATCCGTCCTCCTAAACTGACTATTCTATGGACTATTAGTTTATTTTACCAATATCTTACAAAAATGAACTAATGTATATTCTACAACAGAGTACATAGGAGCTAAAATGTGAGAGCAAAGAGTGATTTGGAGTCGCCATCCCTAGTGGTGATTATCAATATGGAACTGATAAAATTGAACATCTCTTGGTCTCCACAAAGAAAAAGAAATTTTAAAAATGCGTAGTTATATAAGTTTTTGTGATGGTCAAAAAACTTGTTGCGAATTGATGTGGAAATAATGGAAGAGTATATAGCAAACTATGATCCTGAGGATGGTTTGAGCGTAGTAAATGGAAATATTATTAGAATCGATGAAAATATCTTACACAAGGTATTGCATCTCCCAATTGATGACCTTTTGGTAGGTGTTGAAGTATCCAGTGATTTCAGATCGGGAAGCTATTTCAAAGGTAGAACATCGTCATATGAGAAGAGTCAAGGTTGATGAATGACAAAGGTACTTACATCATAGCTTATGGAATATATGCATTTTATTCAAAAGCGGCTAGGTTCGAATTGACATACCACATACATGTCCAAACGGTTATTATTTGCTGCAGTTGAAATACTTAAAGGTATGGTGTTTAATTGGGTAGCTTTTGTAGCAACTAGAATCTATGTAGAAATGGGAGCCAAGCAGAAGGCAAGAAAATTTGTATCCTTGCTATGCTCCAATTATGTGCACTTTGAGATTGAATATACATTGAGTCAACCAGTATCCAAAAACGAGACAAATATACCCTCCCCAATGCCTCAATGATGTATTCAACGTTTACCAGTACTTACAACTAATCTAGAGGTAGTGGTTTATGAAATTAAAGAATGAAGTAACTCTTTGGAATGGGAGGTTCTACTAGTGGTTATACAAGAGAAAATTCCAATTCATTTGGCGATTGTAATAGATACTGAAGTTCCAATTTTGGCAAAAATCAACCAATTAGAGTTTCCACAAGATGATGTATCAGAAGGAGTAAATCTTAAAGAAGTTTTATTGGCTCAAATCTCTCAATTGCAGCTCATAGTGAATAAATTGGATAGGGAGGGAAATTTAAGAAAACAATTGGAGGTGAGCAAGAAAGAATTATTAAAAAAAGACTATAGAATTATGGAATATGATCAAATTATCAACAAAAATATGAAGTCCAACCTGTTATTAGAGCGTAAATTTGAAGAAAAACAAGATACTTGGACAAAAGAAAAAAATAAAAAATAAATAAATAAATAAATAAAAAAAAAAAAACACACTTAAAGTATACTAGAAGGCCAAAGGCAAGAACTTTTCCAAAATTACAAAATATGGTATTTGGAACATGAAGAAGCAAAGTGTAAGTTGATATTCGAACAAAAGAAGGTAGCATTATTGGAACAAAAAAAGAGAATATTAAATAACCAATATAAGACTGAAACAAAAGAGTTGTGGACAAAAATTGGAACCTTGAAAGTAAAAGTGATGAAATTGGAGGATAACTTAGATAATATTGATCGATCACAAATGTTTGTCCCACCAGTTTCAACAAGTAATGAATTAGAAGAGAAGTTGAAGCAACAATAGTACCAATTGGAATCAAAGGATGTCAAGATTTTACAGTTGGAGGCTCAAGTTCATGAAATAAGAGCGTACAATTAGGACTTATCAACCCAATTGAGGATAAAGTAGGTTGAAGTGTCAAAGGAGGATGAGGACTTATTATTAGAGCTGGAATGAATAGAACTGTCAATAAATGTTGGAATTCAATCTTTCGAGCCTAAAATGGTAGAAAAATTACAAAGGTTAGTCAAATTGGTTTTTACCAATTCTATATTTGCAAGGACGCTATACAATTAAGAGTGGGACTATGTAGAATGGATAGGATCTTTTTGTCTTACAATATATTATATAAAAAGTTAATAATAGCCAATAAACTAATGAATGGATAGTTTAGAGGATATAACAGATGATTAAAAAAAAAAGTAGTTAATATCAGTGTATAGTGATTGGTATTTGGTAGTAAGTATAAATTTCTTGAAGAAGAAGAAGAAGAAGAAGAGGCCAGACTGTGAGAGTCAAGAATCAGGGTAAGCTTGATACTACCTCTTGTGTGTGATTTCTTTTAGAATAGAATTATAATTAAGAGATTAGGATTCTTTTTAGTTTTGAACCTTGTAAAGAGAAAAGATTGTAATAAAATAGATGGAAATTATACATTGTTGATTGAAGAATTAAATATTTGAATTGTTAAGTTATAATTGTTTGATTGAAAAGTCCAGAATTGGAGATATTGTGAAGTATAATCGGGGACCAGAAGAGTGTGGAAATTAAAATTATGAAGTATAGAAAATCATAAAGCACAATATAATTGATACTCCAATCTTAAAGAAGATTCTTGGTATTTAATGATATTATTAGAAGTAGGACCAAAGTTGAATTTATAGCATCTAGAACATTGTGTAGGTAAAGTTAAAAATATATTATATTTAAATGGTTCTTAGAAAGTCCAATCCAAAAAATATTAGTATAAATTTTTTATATGTATAAAACAAGGTATTTAAAGTAAAATTTTATTTCACTTAGTATAACTTTTGAATCCATCATGTTAGTTTCTTTTTGTGTTTTTATTTTAAACTACTCTTTTATTATAGTAAATTATATTGTATTATAATATAGTACAATCTATTAGCAAAAATCCATATTTTTGGGCACAAAAAAACTATAAAAGCTTCTAGAAGTAGTCTCTTCCATAATATGGTGTCATGTGGTAATATGACTATGTGGAAAAAATTAAAATATGAATGTTATTATAGAAGAATATAATAAAAAGATATAGTAAAAAAATAGTGATAAATGATAAAAAGGTGGTAAAAAGTTTAGTCTTAATGTTATTTTTTGTAGAAGAGACTTCTATTTACTTTGTAGGAAAATAAAAACCTCAAATTAAAATAAACAAGATAAATAAATAATATAAGCAAATTTAAGAGAGACTTAACAATAGGTTTAAGCAAAAATTATCTTAAATTACCGAAAATTAATATCTAGAGAGGATTAGTTGTCAACCTAGATTGAAATCAAACATCAAGGTACAAAACTATATACTTATGGCGATTTCAAGGTTCTTTTGTAAATTGGAGAGTGGAATTTGAAAGCAAATTATTGATTTGGATGCTAATAATATTGATTAGGCTTTGATTAGGATTTAGGATTTTATCTAGATTTGATTAAGATTTGAATAGAATTTGACTAGAATTTGTTTAGGTTTTGATTAGAATTTGACTAGGATTTGATTCAAATTTCACTAGGATTTTATTAAGATTGGTCTAGGATTTAGGATTTCACTAGGATTTGACCTAGGATTTGGTTAAGGTTCATTAGGATTTTAATTAGTGTTTGTCCTAGGATTTAGTTTAAGATTTGGTTAGGATTGATTTAAAATTTTATTAGGATTTATTGAAGGTTATATTAGGTTTTGATTAGAGTTCAATTAAAACATCTATTTTTGATATTTCTTTGAGATTTTTATATTATATATATTTCATTAAGATTAATTTATTATTTCTTTATATTTCTTTTGTAAGTTCTTAAAACTACTTTTGGATTTAATCAAAGATTGATTTGCATTTCTATAATTTAATTGGAGTTTGATTAGGATTCTATTAGAGTTGTTAGGATCATCTTATTACAAGTTCCAATTTTCCTTCTATAACAAGGTTTCTTGTGCATTCTCAAGCAAACTTCATGTAATATGATAATGGGGCCTCAAAAAGCCTTGCATTCTCTAAGTTCATGTACTTCTAAGTTCCCACATTCCCTTCATTCTTTTTTTCATGGCTAATGAGAAGGCTTCTTTGTCTCTTTTTCATATCTAAGCTATTTTATATAATAGATACAAAATTATAATCATAATATTTTGTATTAAGTATTCAATAATAATACATAATATCTAATATTAATTTTATAAAGAATGTTAAAATTTTTACTAAATTAGAATTACAAAATTTATGACAAGTTATTAAAATATCAATAATAAGAGAATTAAATTTAGAATTAAAAATAATCAAGTAATTAAATATAATAAAAATATAATAAATTTTAAAAAAATCACAAAAATATATTTATTTTACTATTATTTTCCAAAATTGGTAAAAAGATTATTTGTTAGGACATAAATATCAACTTAACTAATGAATTTGTGCAATTGTTTAAGCAATGCTAACCATAGATGTATACATTCATCTTCAATAATGTTGATCAGTGACAGCACTTTCAAATGACATCTATATGACATCTTAGTGTGCATGTTTGGATGAAGAAAATACATTGACAAAAAAAAAAACTTCGTCTTTTTACTTGTACATAATAAGATGAAGTTGACATGATCAACAAGTGAGATGATAAAACATGAATACATTAATTCTTAACCAACATGGAAACGGTCATGTAAAGAAGACAACCATAACATATTATAACTGTAGAAGTAGATGTAGACATCGGAGTGTATATGGAGGATGTACGGTAACTCTGAATTGCACTACGTGGTTGAACTAGACGCATATTCGGCATTGGGAGAAGGATCAACATCTTAGATGAGTGGCGGGTGGGTTCGAGCTCAAAATCGCATAGGAAAAGCAGTAAATGGTTTTTCAAAAACAAGTGTATGTTCATTGACTGTGATGCCGCCTTTAGCATCGTATTTGCATCAACAAACCATGGGAAAATGGGACAAAGTGTTACATCAGTCACACAACCTACTTCAACTTAGAGGAGTCAGCTATAATTTGTATTTTGAACGCAGTGCATTAAGCTTAGTCTCCTCATTCATAGAAAGTTCTTCAGTCGCCAATATATCTTCCCACAACTTCCGCATAACTGTCACGATTTAAATCGGTCGAGGTCAAATAAGAATCAAACAGTCCAACACTCTTGAGACATCATTCTGTTCAAGTCTAATAGCTATCAATAATAAAGTGTATGTGAAAGTATAAGAGAAACTATTCAAGAGAAAAAGTATCCATAGCTTCAACAAGAAAGAGTACTCAACCCATAAATGGGAACGCAAGTTCATAACTTGAAATTAGATGCAAGGTTGCAGTGTAAAAAACTACGTATGGTCATGACAGCTACGAAGTTCCTCTACATTCACCTTTTCGCAATAATTACAAACGAGAGAAGCTATAAAAAAAGGACCAATGCTTTAGACATATTCTGAGTAACACAACAAACAGCAGCAGACGTTGAGAAATAGCAACTAACCAGTTTTGTCCTTAGATGTGAGAAAGAGGATTGTCATGTCGAACCGACCGACTTTAACCAGATTTTCCAATATACGCAGCAGCAGCCCAGTGTGCTCACTGCATACATTATCATACGATGGATTCAAAGTCATAAAAAATTAAAGAAATTTTATAAGACCTCACCTTGAAGTTCGTGAAAACTACGCCTTGTTTCATACGGACACAATTGACATATGAGATTCAATTTTAGACTTAATCAGCAAAATACAAGATATAAAATGATATAAAAGATTGAATAACTTACGGTAGCAGTAAGGGCAAGCAACCCATGATGTCCATCAGCAACGGTGCTCCTAGTAAGTCTTTAAAGATTTTTGGCAATGAAGACGGCTCCATAATCTAAAAATTTCGACGCACTCATAAATATCAGAGTAAAGAATTAGTGAAAATTACCATATTAGAAAACCATCACAAGATCAATGCTCCGGGCCACACAATAACTTTAACATCAATGTTGATCACTGTTCAAAAAGATCAGAATATATACCTTCAGAAGGCGGGATTGAGACTGACGATCATTAGCAAAACATTTCCATGTTGACTCAAATTCATAGGAAGTCTTAGGTGCAACCATGTTCCTGGCCAGTCCCGCTCTAGCATTCATAGCTGCTCGTTCCACAGTGGCTTGTGACGGTGCTTTAACTTCGGCAGTCAACTTTCTGTCTACCTTGTCCTGAGCACAAGCAAGACACAGAAAAGATTTTCATAAAATATGTAAGTCACGTAGCAGAAACAGCAACTTTCATTTTGCGTCAAACGCCAATATGTAGCTGTAGCAGCATATAAGATGGCAAACGACACTCGCCGTAGAAAGAGAGAAAAACAAAACAATTTAAACATATATATATATATATATATATATATATATATATATATAGAATCCAATCGCACTGAAAATCGTTACAAAATGAAAGGATGAAAGGATTCAACTGCTTCGACGTTCCTTCTACCTTTGCCAGTTGCGCTGATAATGGAAATGGTACAGGGTCATCAACCGGACGAGAAGCATCCATCTTCTTAGAAGTAGCCACAGCCCAATCATCAGAGCTTCTCGGATTCACACTTGAAGCCCCCTGTGAACCAACAGATTCAGTCGGAGTCGCAGGAGATTTGATTGTAGAAGCCGCACGACTAGATGCAGATGATAAAGAATTTGCTACACCATTGTTCCCAGGATCCTTGCGATCGACAGGAACATTTCCTGAGATCAGAGATGAAGATGCAAAGCTGTTAAGGCTTGAAGTAGCTACAGGAATTATGTTTGAAGTAGCAGGAGATGCAGGTTTTCTTTCATCCAATCTTCTTGCTGCACTGGCTCCGCTTTCTGTGCCGCTCGGATGGAGCTTTGCAGAGTATGGATCGTTACGTTCTAAATACTTAGTGGTTGCTCGAGGTGAGATCTTTGATGATGGCAGCTCTGTGCTTTCAGACATACCAGGAGAAGTACCTGACAATTCTTCAACTAATATAGGGACTTTGTTTTGTGTAGGTTTTCCCTTAGATGCAAACTGCGTGGCAAGATATCGAAATTTAGTCAAATTGACGACACAAGGTATAAAAACCAATTGAATATGGTCGTACATCGACACCTATATTTTAAATATACAAGAAATAAATTGTAAAAATTGACCTTGCTATCTAACCAAATTCCTTCATAACGTACGATCAGTTCACTCGATGCTTAAATGTTAATCGAATTTGCACTGCCAAAGCTTCAAGTATTTCCATTAAACAAAAAATCTGCACTAAACAAAATACAGATTTCTGTACTGCGTTCTATTCCACTCTGACACTTATTAATTCACTCACGACGTTTTAAGTATCTTGGTTACCTATGAAATTTTCGGATTCAAAATCTTCATGAGCACATACCTTCTCATATAACCCTTTTGCTTCGTTGTACTGCTTCTTAAGCTCCTTATTTTCAGGCTCCAGCCGCAAAGCAAATTCGAAATCTGCAAACGTAAATCTTTTCATATCAAGGTCCATACCCTTTCCAGAAGCAATTTATTGTATTTTTCGATCTAGAAATGTTTCTGTCGACAAGAGGTCTCACCTTCCACAGCTGGGAAATATTTTTGAAGCTCTTTGCGAGCTGTGCCCCTGCGAGAGTAGGCTTTGGTGTAGCGATCATCCAAGGAAATAGCTTCCGTGCAGTCCGCTTCTGCGTCTGCGTATCTGGTGTAGAGATCCTTGTCAGGAAGCACAGTTTGAAATAATACAATTTAATGACCTCGTAAAGTTGCGTCCCTGCTTGAATAACTCATGCAGGTGCTATACAACTTAACACTGATATAAGCAGCCATGAACTTGATAGAACAGTTCTAAATAACAGAAGGTAAAAAAATCACTATACTGTGAAGTTCATGACAAGCACACAGTTCGACACTAGCACAGTTTCATACTATATCCTTGCACAAGACACTAACTCATTTTTGCTGCAGAGGATTTCATTTTAGAACAATCCCAACCTATTCCATACTATGGGTGAAACACAAATACACTCGGTTATGGAAATTTAGAACTGTCCTAACCAACTAATCTTCATTTTATGCGCGTGATATCAACAGCAACACTTAAGCTAAGGAGCATTTATCAATAGCTAAGGAGCATTTATCACCTTCTTATTTTGAGAAAAGCCATAGCTCGATTGGCGAATGTAACTGCGGTTGGTTCCAACGCAATGCTTCGAGAATAACATTCTATAGCTTTCACGTATTTTCTTTCCTTGAAATATTCGTTACCCTGAAATAGCATGAAAAAAAGTTGGAAACGACTAACAAGAAAAGAAAATTATTCGTGAATAGAATTATGAGGATAAGTTATACCTTGGAAGCAGATAATCGAGAGAAAAAGATACTATTTACCCACCAGGTCTTTCTCTGACATTGCATCCGGGACAGGTTGGTCCTCAAGCCCGTAAGAACTCGATAACGTCTCCAAAGTTCCAAGAGACGCTCGGCTTGAACCTCGACTTGGGGTGTAGATGCTACTTTCTGATACACTCAGATTGGACTTTGGAGGCTTCTCTTCTACTTTGGCCTTGGCATTGGATGGCTTAGTTTTGTTGAGTCCTGCCACCTTTTTAAGAGATGATTTTTTGGGTTGAGGCTCCTCATCCACCTCAGCCAATGCCGCGTCCTACTAAATAACAGGTGCAACAAAACAATGGTAATTATTGACTGACAGAAAAACGAGTCCTGCACTTAATATACTGGCTAATATTCAATATACGAAAAAAATTCACTTGACAGATGAAAATGGAAAAAAATGCAAAAAGTAACTAAAATTATTGAAGTTAATCCACAAAAAGCTGCAGTAATAGTTGAACACCACCATGTAAACAAAAGATCCATTGTGCACTTGTTTACAAATCTCTCAAACTCAAAAGATAACTAAAACGACCTGAGCATTAGAAATTCAATCAAAGTCAGGTTCATACTGCTAAGAACTACTCAGTACGTCACATAGTCCACAATCCGAGACAGATGTAACCGAAGGCAGCAAAAGTAAGAGGCAAATGTGTACCACGTCAAATTTGTCCCATTTATCTCTAAAATAGTCGTACGTATGACTTGCTGCTTTTCTAGGAATTTTCTTGTCTGCATCATAGTTTACGCTACCCTCGTCTAAAGAGCTCTGCTTTTGACCCCGCACAGAGGGAATTATCTGCAAACATTACGAAGCCATAAGAAAACACTAAGATAGTATCGCACTCGACAAGCACTTAAAGAAAACTTTTATTATAATTCATGAGAACAATTTGTCTCTTCTACCGTAAAACAATAAACTTCAATCAATTGTTTCACTAACCTTGCTTCCACTGTCAACAAGTTTTTTCTCCTTCTCCTTAACAACATGCTCCCACTGTGTAAGATCATGTAAAAAGTCTTGGAGCTCCTGGAGTTGAAAAATCAATCATACAACACAGTTTCATTCAACGAGGCTGTGGAATTGACGAAACACGACAACTCGTGATTGTTAGAATTAAAAGCTTGAATCATTGCAATTAAATCACGTTATAGAGTCGTGAAGGTAACTAATGTCGTTTACAAAATTACGAAAATTTCTAGCGAGACAAACTCCTAGCAAAGTCGCAGTGAGGTTTAAACTAAAAATGCTACTGTATCAATCTTCGGATCCTTCAGGTAGGCACCATTTCAAAGCTCTAAATCCCTGCCTTGGACTGCAGGGGCAATGAGCTTTCCTATCAAGTAACTAACTAAAAGTGAACAAAGCCCTAACTCGAGTAACTTCTGTTCAATACAAGAGATGATTTCTTTTCCAAGTTAAGCTTACGACTAGTATTTGGATATTGAAACTGATTATGAAAGTTTGAGCCATGCGGAAACAAGGGACCTAGGCTAAAACCGTGCGTTCAGGTTATTTAAAGCAAAACCCCTGTCTGGCATTTTCTTGACAATCACGGAGAGAGAATGATGAACTGAATTTTTAGGTTGGATGCGCATTATTGCAAGAGAGATCTAACTACAAGAGAAATATATCGATGAAGTCAGCATCAAATAAGATACTAATGAAATCCAAAAAAACAATCAAAGAGGAAAGAAAAATGACAAAGTCACGGCGACCTACAAGAGTTTAAATGTGCAGAACTCTCAATTAAAACGATACGATAATTCTCCTCATGTATCACAATTTGGCAACTACTCTTGCAACGGCACAGTGCCGTAACCACAAAACAGTCGACACAACCTAATCACAATTTCACAAAACCAGAGGGATAAGACTGAATCGAAAGAGTGACAATCAGCGTTCCTTGAACCCACGCCCGCTGGCTTTCCTCACAATCACTTCCTCAAGTTCACTATAAGTTCCACTAGATTTGCATACACGAATACACTCCAACAAAACCAAGCATCACAACCTGGCCTTCATGATTCCAATTGAAATCTCATCGCGAAAAGAAAAATAAGAAACACCCAATTCATCCAAGTTTCAAATCATATCACTACCTCTCCAACATGCCCAGCCAGAACCAACCCAGTTTTGCTAAACATCACAAGGAAAATTCACAGCAGACATCAACGAGAACACAAAACAATTGTGCTCAGTCCTCGTCCTCTGGGTCCTCAACCAACACAAATCAACCCTAACACATACCGTGCTGTTATCCCTGATCTGCTTCTGCACTTCGTAAGACATAGCTCCAGAATCCTTTGCAGCTCCTCAAAATCCTGTGAAATCCCGCAAATATACTCTACTCTTGGGCAGAATTACTTCTAAACATCCACATAGAACCCCAAAAACAGCTTCATAGCAGTCACAACGCTTCTACAATGTCAGAAAATCTACAATGCAGGCCGAATCTGCTCGAAGTTTCAAGCGTGCCTGCGTGAAAACGCATGAGAACTGGTCCAGTAACCGTCACTCGAAGTCGGCATATCGTCGAAGCGCCTATAACCGCGCACGGGGCAAGCTCATGACCGTCGACGAAGAAGAGAAGTGCCATCTATTCTTTGCTTCATGCCCTCGCCGCTGTCATCACTTCTAAGTCTTCTAGACACACCAGGAACGTGTGTAAAATTCACGCACATTATATGCCAGGGTTGAATTTGAGAACAACAAAGTGGACAGGATCTATTTCATTGAGTATGTGTGTGTTTAATGTGCTGAAAACAAACTGCGACGGTAAATTTCTTACCTGTTGTTTTAATGTCGTTACTGTCAATGACCCATGTTCATGTTCGGTTTCACTCACCTGCATTCGTCATGGTGACCTCTGGGGATGGCTGTAAGCTCTTGTTGCCGGAAGCGGGCATTGTAATCGTTGGCCTGGGCAGAGAATCAATGTCCTGTTGCTTCTCATCTTCAGTTTGATTCTGTGCCCTAGCTCCAGTATTTGCAATAGATAAAGTGACCCCTGGCTTCATCCAACGGCGGCTGAGCATTGATGTCGGTGTTCAGCCTGGATTTATCAAGGCTTTCCGACAAAATTCTCGTGCCCCAGTGATGGTCGGTGAAGAAAAATGGTGTTACGAACGTCCACGACACGATATTATGCATTGCATCGACATCTTGTAGCTACCATCCATGTCCCTTAGTCTTTTCATATACACAGGTAGTCGAGGTGAATGCTACCCTTGGGTGGTTACTCAGCAGGCAGCAGCATACTCAGCAGTCCTTTGACGCACCATATCAAGATGAATTTTTGTCCTTTTTGATCGAGGATAACTGCTCGTGCCTACTTTCACATCGGCATGCAGTCAACCTTTTTGTGAAACAAGTTGCTCAGATTTCGGTGCGTTTGACACAAGTCAGATAATTCAGATAATGTGCTGCAGTCGTGTAAAAATGATACACAGATGGTTGCGCAACTTTAATTTCCGCTTTGATATCAGTGGGAAGATTGAAGCCTACACTTGAAAGTTCAATTATTTTTCAGTTACATGATTGTATTGACTATCACAGCTTTGTAAAAGAAACTTCATTTTTTCAACTTTAGTGGCGGTGGTGTGATTTTAATTTATTGTTTATTTTAAATTGGTATAAAATAACTGTTATTTACATTTTATACGTATTAATTTTATTAATTAGTCATCTTTGGATTGGTATTTATACAAAAATTATGTAAATATACAAGGTGTATTTATTTTTCTGTAAAGTGGACCCAAAAATTCAATTAGAAATACTGTGAAGCGACAGACTATTTAAACTTCACATTGTGCTGAATGGGAAAAGTTTTTCTAACTGTATACGACATTAAAAATTCACGAAACTTTCAACCATTGCTATTGTACAACTATCCATTGAACTACATTCTATGGTAAGTTAGAGATTTTCAACATTAGTTTTTCACCAATCTTTAACAGTAGAACTTGATATTGCTTTGAAAATTCATGTTTACAGTTCCTCTCGTAGAACTTTTCCGTTCCAATGGAAAACTGTCTGCATCTTGGCTTTCTGCAACCACAGACAGATCGTGATTTGCTTGGATCTTCTTCATTACCCATATTTTGTACTTAATTTTTGAAAACCCTAAGTGAAGCTTTGAATCTTGTGACAGAAGAGAATGTATCTCAGTAGGGACAGACATTGGCCAAGCTTTGGTTGGCTTCAGGATGACCTCCTGGTCCTGGTGATTGTGAAGGAGTCTGAACGTGATTCTTCGAAACAGATTTAACCATGTTCTTTGCATGTGCAACATCAGGATTAGGAGTTTCCCAAATGTCCGAATCAGAGTTTTCTGCGTTGCTGATCTTAGTTTTCACACCCTCTTCGTGCAACTTCTCGTGGGCCCGTTCGATGTCTCCGTTGCTGCCCTTACAAAGAGAACGAAGCTAGACATCATCCTCATCGCCTGCTTCATCCTCTTTGCTCACTTGGTGCGCATAAGCGGATTTTGCGACTCCTCTGTGCCACTTCGCGCATTCATACTCCTCCTTGATGGGATCATACTGAACAGTTGTTTCAGATACTCCAGACAGTGTCGCATCAGCCACAGTAGGATCATCATACGACCCAGTCCACACCCAGAGACTTGGATCATCTTTGCTCACCGCCACAATATCAGACATGTCATGCAGAAACTCCGTGATGGGCTGCAGAGGTGCATGGCGTGGTTTGTCGTAACCGTGGCTAACAAGAGCGCTGGACATCGGCCACCCTGCAAAGTCTAAATACCAGCCGTCGAGCAGTTCAGGCCAAACGCCGCTGGTGTTCTTCGTAAGAGCCCAGAAGAGCATTTGTCTGAGACCCACCTTAGAGATCGACAGAATGCGCATGTTCTTCCGGCTCTGTACAAGCGTGATTTTCTGGTCGTCAGATGTAGAACGCACCTCGAAGTTCACGACGTCAGGCATCGCCTGCAGCATTGACCTCACAGAGTCGAATTCACCTAACTTAGGGAGCTGGCCAGTCCGTTGTTTGTAAACCGTGGAAAACTCCTGCACTGTAATCCCATTCTCCATGTACTCTGGGCATCCGAATATCATCCGAATTTCATGCTTCAGCCTGTGAGTTGAGCTGGCTTGCTTAGACGTGAGTTCCGAGATTGATTCTGGAGACGTTAGCAGGGATGCTGGGTTCCTCTCTACACCAGGTGCTTTCGATTCTTCACTACTGACGGTTTTAGGGAGTTGGATATTTGTTTCACTGCCACTTGATTCTGCAGCTGGGTTCTGGGGGTAGCCCGTGGCTGTTTGCAACTTTTCCCTGATTGCATCAACATCTGCAAATTCTTCGGACACATCGCAGTCAAGAAGGTCAAGCAACGGAAATTCAGCATCTCTTAACTTGATTATTAAAGCACCATCCTCTCGGCAGCCGAGACGGACGAAGTCTTCCAAGTCCTTTAGTAGTAGACGAAGCTCATAGCAATTAGAAAGCTGAAATTCCGCTGGGCTTTTGGATAAAGATTCTAGCGCTCTGCTCATGTCCTTCAAGTCGTAACCGTTGTTGGTAAGAATCTCATCGATTTTTGCAGAGAGCTCCTCTTGTAAACATTCCGTAAACTCTAATGGTTGGAGGCCCTCAGGATAGCGTGCCAATAAAATGACAAACACCGCAGATCTTAACCCAGTAATTATGGTGTTCAAGACACGACTATTCTCAGTGGTATTGATGGGAAAGACCCATTCAGGATTCCAACTATTTAAAAGTAAGATATCCTTCCATTCGCTAGCAAGCTCTTGAATTGAATCAAATCCAAGGGCTGGTAGATCAAGTTGAACCGCGAACATTTTCACGTAAGTAGACGGCAACTCCTCGACTTTGATTCCACCGCCGTCGTTCTGTAATGTCAGGAGCAATCTCAAACGCAGACGAACATTGCGAGCTACATCTTCCGCATGGTAAAGCGATTCACTCCTATATGGGCCACTGCTCTCAGCGGCACAGAGGACTCGAAGATCTGATAGCTCCTCAGGGGCCATTCCATTTGGCCCACATCTTGGACCTGCAGGACTTGTTATCAATTCTGCGGCAGCATCCACATCATCCCTCGGAGCTTGCAGGTTTTCCTTCTCAAGTAGCTCGGAGTAGCAACTGCCTGTGGGCCCTCTCTTATTGCGCTTAGTTTCATCGATTTTAGTCATACATTCGGGCACATCCGCAAAGCTTTTCACTAGTGAGGTCCGTCGAATAAGCAAGCCATCTGTTAGAGCAGGGTCCTCAGCTTCGTTACACAAATAAACTCGTATCATTTCTTTGCTTTCGTCCAGAAACGCGATGTCCGGCATATCCCGGAGCATGCATTCTACTGAGGCAGTGTGGTATCCATGATCCACCAGAACTTCTTTCAAGGGTTGTCCAATCAATTGATCGCATAGCCCTTCCACTGCATTGATGTATATTCCTCGGTGCACACTGAGGACATCGTACACGACTCTCCGTAATCCTGACCTGATACCACCCACAATGCGGTGGTTTTTTGGAGTATCCACCAGTTGCAGTTTCCCATCGTCTATTAGTAATGCCCTCTGCACTACGTGAGGCATTGATCTGCAGAGCCTCGCTGCCGTGCTGAAGCCCACAGTGTCAAAGGTTTTCTTAAACGTTTTCTGATAAATGCGAGAGAATGCAGATACAGTGCACCCAGCAACTTGGAAAGCAGGTGAGCTGAGGATCACTCTGACTTCATACTGTAGTCTTGCACGAAACTCTGGTGCACGTTCCAAGTATCTCATGCACTCGTCCTCCCACAGAGAATCGTAGCTACAGTCATCTGACATCTCAGTTTGGACTTTCAACTCCATCATATATGTCACAGTAGAACAACGCTCCTTTGCCTAAATACAAGAGAGCGAATTCTGTCTGCTAATTTCACAAAAAAGGATTCGAAACCTTTAGCCTGTTCATACAAAGATCCACATCTCGAATTGTTAAGAATGAAAAGTACACTTTGTAGTAGCACTCGAATCTGACCATGAAAATAGATGGACATTGTTGAGTTGTAATTGATCCTCAAACCGTTGGTAGCGAATTTTGGAGTACCTATCCTGTCAAGGCTTTCTCATGCGACACTTATCCATACCAGAACTGCATGACCAACTGCTTCCCAAGATTTTCTATCTCCAACTTTTATTTTATCTCTTCGCTGAGCAGAAATCGGACCTCATGATTTGAAGCCAGCATCGACTTGGTTGGCAACTTCGGTCTGGCCTTCACAATCGTGAGCCCTTTCTGATTCTAGTCGCGACCCTATACGAGACTTCCTGCTGCTCTTGCAATCCGGCTTCTTGCTCCGCGGACGGGCTAAAACTGAATGCGAGCTGCTCAATTTTCTGATCACTTGATTTGATCGGTATTCCTTTCCTTAATTAAATGCAGAATTTGCAACCTTAAGACCAATTTTAGATATTATCAGTGAAGTTTTTTTTATTGAGCCGTTTAGTATTAGAGTTAAGCGACTTTCTCCCTCAGCAGCATCAATGCCTGCTTCAATAGCATTTGGAAGTGCTTCACCGTCGCGGTTTAGATTCTGGCCAACATAAAGACCGTCAAGTTTCCTGCTTTCTCTATGAGCTTCAGTCCTGCTCATAGCATTCTACTCCGAGGCTACGGCAATCTCATGGTGCTCTTTGGTGAGGCAATGCCAGAGTCAATGACGCTATGCGGATTCCCCCTTACCCTCCCTTGGTCGCTCACATGTCTGCTTGCGCAGCACAGGAAATAAATGAAATTTAAGTAGTGGTGATCGACATGATTCACGAATGCACCACCATTTACGTTACGAGACGCACTGCAACGGGCCTAGCGGTGAAATTGAGGAGGAATTAGCATCATGTGCACGCTTCACGTGAGGAATCGATTTAGACAACAACCCTTCAAAGCTCCTTTAGTCCACCCCTTCATCAAAGGAAAACCTGCTACCTCAATCACCAGGGCAACGGCTGATCAAATCTCCAAGCTGAGAAACTGATCAGCTGATTGTCCGGTGTAGAGGCTGATCAAATCTCCGGCAGCTCACCCAGCCGATGGGCTTACGACAATCGAATGCAAAGATTCAACCGATTTGCAGTTTCAGTAACAGTTATATCACCTCTTCACTATGACTTCGGCCTCTCCGTTTGGGTTTACAACTGGTGAAATGGGAACGACTGAAAGAGAAAAGCAGGTAAGCAAGTGATATCTATATTAATTGTTCGGCTGATGTTGAGATTTTGCAAGGTGTTCCAGCTTCATGTAAACGTTTTTGATGAATTACAACCATTCTTTGCAGCAGTTTTGACATAATACTATCTGGTGAAGAGGATGGTAAGTATACAGGTTAAAGGCAAAATGTAATTTTTTTTGTTGAATCATGGAAGCAAAGAAAAATCTTCTTATGGGTAATAATTAGCCATTGCATGGTTTACAAGAGGAAAGCAGAAAATGAATTTTCTAGGAATTTTTTAAAAATCTTTTTTGGTCTTGATTACCTTCAGGCTGTTGTATAAACCCTTTCTCGCTTTCCACCCACTATGGTGAAATGACGACGTCAGGACATTTGCTTGATTTAAAGGCCGGTATGGTGCACATAAATTCCCTCCCCTACAATACTCCTGCCCCATCCTACACCTACCAATATTCCATCTGATGATGCTTGAATCTGCAACATTATTTGTCACTATTATTATACAATGAAACACTAATAATAACCCTAAATTCGCAATAGTTTTTGCACTGCTTTAAGACAGAAGAAACTCATTGTTTAACATATCATTTGATTTTCAGTCAGTTTCTTCTTTCTGATGCATTTCTCATGCAATTAGGCATTGTTTCCAGTCCCAGCCTACAAATCATACAGAGGCATTAATGTCTGATCAGATAACTGTATGATTTCTAAAGAATGTTCATCTCAAGCACATGAAGATGGTCATAAATTATCTCTTCCTGCAATTTTCAGAGCACCCTCGTTTTAAATGCAACATAGTAATTCCTGCAGAGTTGGTGTTCCATCTGACCAGAAAGGAGCTCGCTCCAGCCATTTGCTTACATCTGTCTATGTGACAGCACTTGCATGTCCTTTCTGTCTTAATCGTAGAAGGTTTGGACATGGTTATGCTGTCATTGCATAGTGCAGACTGCGGATAACTGCTAACGAGCTTCAGTGCTCTTCTGGGTGTTAAACATCTCATGATCCTACGTAAATATTCGTTTTGTTGTCCATTCCACTTTTCAGTTTCACAAAGAAGAAGTGGCTATCTAAATACTTGGCGTTGGAATTGGTGCGAAGTGCCTGTAACTAGTAGCAACAGTTTGCTAAGAAATCGCATTTAATAGATGCAGTGGAAGTCTGCCAAGTAGGACGTTGATGACTGACCATGGTGAAAGAACACAAGATTTCAATTCTCAAATACTGCGAGCAGTTGCGCAGGGGAAGTGTTGGAGTATCAGAAAAGAATGTGACAATGACCATGCGAGTGCCGACGTGTTGGGTGATCTGCCGGTGGTTGAAAACGGCGTCGTTCATGGTGATACATTCTCCTGAACCGAGCTATCATTGTTTGGAAGGTCCACCAGTGGAGCTTGTGCTGTTTCAAAAGACATCACGGAAGTGTTGCATTTCAATATTCCTTACGGATGAATTGCGGACTTGATCCTTGGTGGTTTCTTCGCATCTTACATTCGCGGTGACTTTCTTGGACGTAGAGGTGAGGCAAGGTACGAGACAGTGGATGAAGTTTGTTGCGTTCCAGAAGATGATTGCTCTGAGCCTCTTCGTGATAGCTTCGCACACGATTGCTCAGTGGGCATCTTTGTTGCTTGATTTTCAGTGCACTTGGAGTTGTTTAACGTCAGTCGGTGCTTGACAGTGAGTGTGTGCCATTCAGCAATGGATCATGTTTACTATAAAAACTCCTGCATCTACGCATTTTGAGAGGAACTAGAGCAGCAGCAGCAGCAGCAAGGCTTAATCTGCTCAACCTATTGCTGCAAACCATTGTTTGCCTGCGTCAAATTTGTATTCGTTAAATTTCTCGTTATCCAAGGGAAAGCTAAGGTACGATACTTCGTGCGAGTCTTTAGTTTACACAATAACAGCAAATTATTCAACAGGATTCGAAACAGGATGTATACGTTGAGGAATCCAATGGAGAGCACACCTTAACACGAACGAGACGCGAAAGGTTCCTTCCCGAATATTCTCGAGACCACGCAATCGAATAATGTAGTGCATCGCGTGTACTTTACACCTTGTACCCAACAAACGATCTGAACCGAGGCAACAACCTGGTGGACACGTCTCCCATGAAACTCTGTTAGTGCACTTGCGAGATGCAGGGAAAGTCTACAGAAGCACTTCTTTGGATATTCACAACTTTTTGAAAGCAGCATCATGGTGATCTCATCTACTCGCGCAGTGCCCATTTGTCCACATCATGAGCCACGTACCAGCACAAAGACTCCAAGCACATCCGCGGCGTAAAACATTCCCCTCAACCACCGCACCTACTCGCATCAATGTTATTCTACAAACAGTGCACTTCCCACATACACGTTTGTCGTTCTCAGCACCCCTTTGCAGCACTTGGATTTACAGACATAACCACGGCTGCCAATACGAGAGTGCACCTTCATTCAACCCACCTCTCTACCAGACAATCCAACGCGCAAACCAGCCACCCCGAGCCTGGTGCACTCAATCAACCATGTTGAAACGTGACTGTGCGCACTGGTCACCACTCAAAATGCATCATTCCAATCCTGACAACCCCATGACAATCGTCACCACGGCTTAGTAGGCACACGACACTAAGTTAAGTGCTCATGGGAATCGGTGGGCACTGTTCTAGTTAAGGAATTAGGGCATGCAGCTGAGACAGCGTGGGTGCAGCGGCGAACTCAAAGACGTTTATGTTGCCGCCGTGAATTATTTCCAAGCATGTATGTGAGTGTGAAATAATATATATATATATATATATATATATACATATGTAGGATTGTCTACTTTCAATTGTGGATGATAAATTCCTAAACCAGATTGTTATTTTTGCATTCTTTTCTTCTTCAAGTATGAATGTGTGTTTATATATTTGTATATTTGGAATAATTCATGGTTACCTTCATTTTATAGTGCATCATATTTTTTAAGCAGAATTGTGTATTGTGCACTTTTTACATGATTGACTAATATATTGTCAAATTCATTTTTTTTAATTATTGTTGTATAAAATATGATATGAACTTAATATACTACATAATTTGTATTTACTACATGGTGGTAATGTATAGGAGGCATTTTTTTTAAAAGTCATAGATGTTTTGTGTAAAGCAAAAGTAATCTCACAATTTGTTTCATAAATTTTTGTAGAATCAATAGACTTTTTTGAGATTGTTTTGTTACTTTAAGTTCTTATTTAATAGATTAATTTTAGTAGATTGGTATGTTTTATTTATTTTTTTCTTAGTCTTTCTTTATTTTAATAATGTTTGTAGTAACAAAAGATATATTTATGTTACTCTAGCTTTAGAGGTTGCAAGTAAGTACAAGACAAAACTTAACAATAATCATAACCAACAACACACACAAATCTATAAACAAGCTATTTATTACCAAAATTTGGAATTTAGTCAAATATTATTGTAACTCAAGGTTGTATTGTTTGATAATAATATACTCCATTCTGCTAAGTCTCAACCACTATTATGGTACTAAGTCAATTTTTTAATACTCAACCTCCTTAGCCCATACTCAAGAGGTCCTTTGCATTTTGTAGTGGTATTGGAATTGTTACTATTATCTTTTTACTTGTTGCTCTCACCTTGTGATGTTTAATTACTTTGATAAGTGTCCAATTGCTTTGACGGGTGTCACAAATACATCATACAAGAGACCAAACAAGAAGTTGAATGAAAAAATTTCAATAAGAAAGCTAACAAGAACTTGATTAAACCAAATGAGTAGAAGATCAATACTAAGAGAGACAAGCTAGAGCTCCAAGAAATGTATTGTCAAGACTAAAGATCCCCTCAACCTCAACTCCTATATATATTAGGTATTAAGAAGCTTCTCAAGAAGTTTTTATGTTGCTTGTAGATGAAGCAATCTTAGAAAGCTCCTCAAAAAGTTTTTATGTTGCTTGAAGATGAAGCAACCCTAAGAAGCTTCTCAAATAACTTTCTTAATCATCATAAATGTTTTTAGAATCTAATAAAATATTCTAAGAATATTTCTAAAATCTTTTTGTTAGATGTTTGTAACATCACTTCTCTAATTCCGAGTTTCAGGAGGAGCAACGATTTCATATTTGCTTTCTTTGTTATATACAATATTTTAGTAGTAGCTTCATAAAAAAGTTATCTTAAAATAGGTTTATGTTTTTGAGAATAGCATCAATGAAATTCCTATATCTTTTGTGGCACATTAATTAGATATTTTGCTAATTTTCACATATGTTCATTCATATTATAGCTGCTGTAATAAATAAAATACTTCAACTTACTTCTTTTTTGTCAAAAATCAAGGATCTTTTTTACCTCATATTTTACATGATTATATATTTTAATGTATGGTAGTGATGGTTGTTTTCTTCTCGAAATAGTAGTTCATAAAGACAATGTCAAGAATTCTTCAATCTTGAATAAATGTCACACAAGAGGACAAAGTCCTTCACAATTTTTTACATTTGACGCCACCAAAAATCTTAAGACATAAGCTCTAACGTTTTATTAAACCTAAAATGTCTTGCAACTAAAAAATCATAATAAGTTTGAAGAATAAAAAGTTACATTATTCCTTCTAAAATATGTAAAAAATCTTCAAAATATAAAAGATCTTTCATGAATTTGAAATTTTTGTTATCAAGGCACTACTTCATATTATAAACTAATGAATCTTTAGCAGATGCTCTACAAATTTGTTCAAGAAAACTTCAATCAACAGATGTAATGATAAAAGTAGCACAAAAATAAAATTATTTTGGCTTCAAGAAAGTAATATATTATTAATTAAATATTAATTTTTTTAGCCTTTAGAGTAAGATATATTTTTTTTTAATAAAGCATTTGATAGTCTTTGTATCAAAGATATGAAGCTCAAAGAAAGAAATCTTCAATATACTCTTATGTCACTCAAAAGAACTAGAAAGTCACTCAAAGTTGATATAGTATTAAAATAGAATGGCTATTACTAAAAACAAAAAGACTAGAAAGTCTTCAATAAGAGTGAAGAAGAGTTCACTCTTGCCTCTATATATACTCTTAACTAGGAGCTACATGGCAATATCCTATAGAATGACCAAAATATGTTGACTTTAAAAGACATATATTTTAACTTGCAAGGCAAATTTTCTATATGTATGCTACATAGTTAGCTTGTTCCGTAAGCTACCATCATATGATTAAGTTGTTGACCAAGTTTCTATCCTACTAATCAAGTACAAACACATGTAAAGTCAAAATAACATCCATGAAGCTTCTAAAAAACTTTTCTAGAAAATATTAAGATATCATCAAAATAGCAAACAACAAACTTTTCTAAGAATTTTTAAAAGAACATCATTCATCAAATATTGGAATATAACTAAAATATTTATCAATCCAAAAGGTGTGACATTATATTCAAAATATCCATACTTTGTTTGAAATGTTGTCTTTTATTCATTTTTTTTTTATTTTTTTTAATTCCTATCAAATTGTATGCTCCACAAAGATCTATTTTGATATAGATTTTGGCTTGATTGAGTTGCTTTAAAAGTCCTAATATCAATATTAATGGATAATGATTTTTCACCATTATTTTGTTGATGCTATAGATAATTTTATGGAATTTATTTATAATACCATTATATCACCATTATTTTGTTGATAATCAATACACATTTGCAAAGATTCATATTTTTTCTTCACAAAAAATATTGGTGCACTTACTAGAGATTTGAAATGCCAAATAAAATTCTTTGCAAGATTTTTGTTTATATAATCCTTCAATGCCAAAAGCTTATTCTATGATATATTGTAAATTGTGCCAAATGGTGGTTGAATCCCTTTTTGAAGATCAATAGCACAATCATACGATTAATGCTATGAGAGTATATCAACATTTTTCTTTTCAAAGATACCCTGAAACTTCTTATATTGCTTTGAGATAGCTACTAGCAAGCTTGTTTCTTCATGAGCTAGAGTTACACAAATAAAAAATGACATTTCTTTCTAAGCCAACTTCACCAAAGCCCTTGCTCCAAGGAATAAGGATTTTGTTGCTGATAACTTCTTGATAGATTTTGCCTGAAGGAATTTTAATACGAAATCTAAACTTATAAAACTTCCAATCTATGGATGGATTATATCTTTTTAATTACAATAGTCCTAGAATGATAGGATTGGATGAAATTCTAATAATATTGAATATTGTTTTACTAATTTGGCCCTCAAAGATATTTCTAGCAATATACATATAAATACATTTAAAATTATGCATATAAATACATTTAAAATTTCTTCCTTCTCTATATTTTTTTATTTTTTTATTAAATAAAAAAAATAAAAAATAAAAAACTACATATTATTGATTTAAATAATTTCTATTATATTTTTAGATATATCTTTTGAGCCATTATAAATTTAAAATTAAATATCTAAAATGATACAATCTTTGAATATATGCCATTGGATTCTTTAATTATTCTATTTTAATTTAAGAATGATTGTGAGGTCTTAAAAAAATATAGATGTGTACTTATAGTCTTTAATGATCTAATTAGAATGCATAAAATATAATATTTGGATGTAAGAAGGTAAAATCAAAAATAAAGTTAATTAAATTTTGATTCTATAAGAATAATTATTATATAAGTTTATATTAAATATTTTTTCTAAAACTATGAAGAAATTGGTAAAATACTAAAACTATTAATTTTATACATTTATAAAGTATAATGAAGAAGGAATCATTTTTTGTTTTAGTATTCAATCTCTTAAAATTATTATTATTCTTTTAATAATAAAATTCATCCATATATTTATCATCTAATAGATAATTGTTTTACTTATTTATTTTAAAATATAATATTTTAAAATATAATATTTTAAAATCATAAGATAATTTGTGCCAATAAATTTGATTACAATAAATCTATTTAACACTCGAATCATATTTTTAATGTTGATATACTTGCCATGTTGTAATTCTATGGACAATTTTATGGAATTTGTTTATAATACCATTGCATTCTTTTTTTACAAACTATTACTTAAATTATTTGAAGGCAATGAATGCATCTTCACTTGTAATTCACACACTAAAATCCTAATCCATCTATAAATTAGAGTCCAATCCCTAACTTCAATAAATATATGTATATATATATATATATATATATATATATTACCTTATCAAATTCAAACATTATCTAAGATTTACAAGTTTAGTGATACATGGGCAACAACTCAATTTCTTTTCATACAAACTATAATTAAACCTATATAAATTCAGTTAAAACTTTTGTACAATGAAGTCTTTGGTTGAGACATTCTAACATTTAAGAGACATTAAAAAGGGGAATGTTAAATAGACCCAAGTTTTTACTGAATTGACCCACCCAGCCTAACCATCATGAAAAACGCACCATTGTGTTCATCCAACCCACACTTCCACATCCCTTGTGACGACGCTGTGGACGGCGTCGTCTGCTGCGCCGGCCTCTCGCGCTTGGCTTTCACCATGAGAATCACTTTCCCTTTGATTGTTCCACAGTACCAGGTCTATTCCTCAGGTGCTTGCTTTCTCGCTTTGTGTGGTTAGTTGCTCACTCTTTTGCTTGATCCCTGTAGCAAGGCTGATGCGCCTGGCTTCTTTCCTCTAGTGGATAGCGAGCACCCACGTCTACCTTTTTCTTCTTCTTCTGTGCAGTAAGCACCGATTTATGGATCCCTAGTTGGCACAGGGTTGAAGTTTGAAATGCCTGCAAATCCATTTTAGGGAGGTCGTTGGTTGCGGGGTTCGCCTCGTTGGTCGCTGCGGTGGTTGTACTTGCGCTTTCGAATCCTTCTGTGGAGGTTGAGGTTGGTGATGTTGTGGCTGGGGAGACTTATTCTTGTTGTGTTGCAGTAGCCCTTTCATGTCGGGGGCCGTGAGATTGCTTAGGTTTGGGTGATTGGGAGTCGAGTTTGTTTCTGGCGTCCGTGGATTTAGTGTGCGGGAGCTGCTGTAGAAGTTTGCGAGGTGGGTTTTTGGTTTGTGTGGCATGAGGGTGCAGAAGAGAAACTGGGGAGTGAAGAGGAGGATTTATGTTTTGAGGTTTTGAGGCGGCGAGGGGAGATGACCACTACCACAGGTATGGCGTTGTCGTTCATGCCGCCATTTTTTAGCATTTTCGAGGTTTGGGCGTGTTTGCTTCTAGTGGGGACGGTGGCGTTCTTCGTGTGGAGGCAGCAAGGAGCGAAACCTGTGAAGCCCGTGGTGGTGGTGGCGAAGCCCGTGGCGCCGATTGAGGATGAAGTGGAAGAAAACAGCTCTGTGAAGCGAGTGACGGTTTTCTTCGGGACGCAGACGGGTACAGCGGAGGGCTTCGCTAAGGCGATTGTGGAAGAGGCTAAGTCGCGGTACGAGGGCTCTGCCGTGTTCAAGGTTTTGGATCTCGATGATTACGCCGCGGATGATGAGCAGTATGCGGCGAGGTTGAAGAAGGAGAAATTTGCGTTGTTCATGGTGGCGACTTATGGGGATGGCGAACCTACTGATAACGCGGCGCGGTTTTACCATTGGTTTATTGAAAACGGAGAGGAGTTGGAGCTACATTTGAGCGAGTTGAGGTTTGGAGTGTTCGGTCTGGGTAACCGGCAGTACGAGCACTTCAACAAAGTGGCTAAAAAAATCGATACTGCATTCGCGAAGCATGGTGCGAAGCGGATTGTGGAAGTCGGTCTCGGCGACGACGATCAATCCATTGAGGATGACTTTGCCGCATGGAAGGAAAAGCTCTGGCCGGAACTTGATGTTCTGTTAAAAGACCCCGAGGACTCACAAGCCACTACCCCGAAGACTGCTTATCTTGCTGCTGTTGCGGAGTATCGCACAGTGATTTACGAACCTGGAACGAAGCTTCATGTGGAAGAGTACTCTGGTAAGAAAATTGGACAAGCCGCTTACGATGCTGTTCATCCGTGCAAGGCGGAGGTGGCGTTTGTGAAGGAGCTTCATAGCCCTGAATCAGGCAGGTCTTGCACTCACTTAGAGTTTGACATCGCTAATACGGGACTGTCCTACGAAACTGGTGATCATGTCGGAGTCTATGTGGAGAATAGTCGGGATGATGTGGAGGAAGCCGCCAAGTACTTGGGAATGCCTCTTGATACAATTTTCTCGCTTCATGTGGACGCTGAAGAGGGGCAGCTACTGGCTGGATCTCTTCCCCCGCCATTTCCAGGTCCATTGTTGCTGGAGACAGCTTTGCGTCGTTACACTGATTTGCTCAACCCTCCGAGGAAAGCCGTGTTGATGGCATTGGCGGCTTTTGCATCTGACCCGGAAGAAGCTGAAAGATTGACATATCTAGCTTCTCTGAAGGGTAAGGAAGAGTACTCCAAGTGGGTAGTGCAGAGCCAGCGGAGCTTGATCGAGGTATTGGCCGCCTTTTCCTCCGTTAAGTTGCCACTTGGTGTCTTCTTCGCGAGTGTTGCGCCTCGTTTGCAGCCACGATTTTACTCAATCTCGTCATCCCCCAAATTGTCCCCTTCCAGAATTCACGTCACTTGTGCGCTCGTCCATGGCCCTAGCCCCACGGGACGCATCCACCGTGGTGTTTGTTCCACCTGGATGAAAAATGCACAGTCTAATGAAGCTTGTAGCGCGGATGGCTGCAGCTGGGCTCCCATTTTTGTGCGCCAATCCAATTTCAGGTTACCCGCAGACTCCTCTACTCCAGTTGTAATGGTAGGCCCTGGAACTGGCTTGGCACCATTCAGGGGGTTCTTACAAGAGAGAGCTGCTCTTCAGGAATCAGGGTCAATGCTTGGGCCGGCGAAGCTCTTCTTTGGATGCCGATCACGTACTCAAGATTTTATTTACGAGGACGAGCTCAAAAGTTATGTTGAGAAAGGAGTGATGGAACTCACAGTAGCATTCTCCAGGGAGGGTTCCAAGAAGGAGTATGTCCAGGACAAAATGCTTGAGCAAGCAGGAGAAGTGTGGAGTTTGATTAAGGGTGGTGGGTACTTGTACGTCTGTGGTGACGCGAAGGGGATGGCGAGAGATGTGCACAGGATGCTGCACACTATTGTTCAGCAGGAGGAGGGCGCAGAGGGCTCGAAGGCTGAGGCAATTGTGAAGCAACTCCAGGTGGACGGGCGGTATCTGCGCGATGTCTGGTAGCCTTCCCTTTCGGTACGAGTACTGCTTACCATATCTAGATCATATGTAGCCGTAGATCAGGGAATAGTGGCACAGATTGATCCAATTCCTTGGATTGGATCAATGCAGAGATACTTAATCAATGCACACATTGTGCGATGCAGGATGGAATTAAGATGCTTTTCAGCTGTAAGGTATCAGTGTAGTGAATAGTTATCGTAGTGGTGGTTAAATCAACGCAGTTGAGTTTCTTAGGAGTGTACAGTGTCTCGCATAGCTTTGAAAGGACACGGCGCCTTCTTCTTGTAACTGGGATCGAATTTCATGTCCCGTCCTCTGAATTCTTTAAGGAACTTGCTAGTCTCGATGCACATTGTTTTCAGACGGTGTTGTGAGTGAATTTCAGTACCCACGGGTTATTGTAGTTCGATCGGATGAAATTAATGGATTCCACCAGAAAAAGTGTTTTCTTCGTTACTGTCCAGGCGATTTGACTGACTATTGTGGTCGTTGTTTTTAGTCAGATTTATGCTGTTAAAGATGTTCTGCCTCAAAACCTCAAGTGGGTGGTTTGTGCACGTGCTGCTGATTTCGATCCAATGACTAGGACTTGTCTTCTAGAAGCGCCGTGTGTAGAAAACGACAAGTACTTACCAGTTTGTGAGTATTGGGAAGCAAGGATACGAATCCTCTACTAAAGAGTGATTTTATTTAACCATTAGCTTGGGATTCTAGTCAGCGCAAGTCTATTTAAGTACTTTTGTTCTTGATTGCTGAAGGTAAATACTTATCAATTCTGTTCTCAAACTTACTGTAGAGATTCTGACCGCGCCAGCTTTGGAACTTCTTGTCTGAAATGTTATCTGGCATCGAATTCCCAATGTTTTGTCTTTCGGATAAGCATATCGGAGGTCTTTCACTGAGCTTCCTTAGTGACAGTTACGATATCCACAAAGATGCTGGAATTTAGCAGTGAAGTTGGAATTGTCTGTATTTTGAAGCACCCTCTGACCTTACTTAATCCGTCCGTCCTCCATGAGTGTCTACGGATGTCCCTAGGCTAACTGACGGGTGATCAATTGTTGGGAGTCCCATAAGTATTGGTAGGAAGGGTGCAGGGTTTTGGATTTGAAAAGGGAACCCCAGAATTATTTTTTGAGCAATTCGATAGGATTAAGGGTTAAGGGCTAATTAAATGTTTTGGTGCAAGGAGTCATGTGGATTTTTTGTTCATCTGGTACAAGGTACCAATTGGATATTTATTACGCTGCGGCCCTCATTTTGGTTTTGTAGAGTTGATGTGAAGATAAGTAGCCAGGGCTGGGCGATACAATGTTTAATCAGAGCCCTCTGTGAGTCACTTCCTGATTAAAGAATATTATTTTCCAAGTTGCAGCCCACTCTTGTGAACTGATTTGTAGTAGATTCCTTTTCTGAGGATGACAGGACTCTGTTAGTGCAAACTCAATGGAGGGATTCGTATCGAGAACTAGTTTGGAGCTGGATTGCCAAGATCTGATCTCATCCATTCCAACAGCCCACTTTCTATAGAAGTGGCTGAATTGACCTATCAGGCGCTGTTTCTGGATATGCTATGACCCTTAAATTAATGATTCTGAACCCCAGCTCCATTGCACACCCTCCTCATTGGGACTCTTTTTGGTCTGCCCTCACCTGCCAATTGGGCAATCTGGGCCTCCTTTTCTGTTCATCTCTTTTCTGCGGTTTCTTTTGTTTTATTTGTCTATTTTCTAGTGTGGTTGCTTTCCTTGTTTTTACTAATGAGCTCCTGGTACTTGAGCTTGTAATGTTTGTGGAGAATGCATTGGTGAAGCTAGAATTAGGGTCTTGTTTGTATTACAGGTTATTACGAATGGTGTCCATTCAAAACTACATTCATAAATACTTAGAATATAATACAAGCACATGTTTAGAGGGTTGCACCTTTGTGGTTGCTTCAAATTGCTAATGCATATCCACCAACATGTAACCACACATATTGTGCAATTTAGAGTAGAAAGTACTTGTTTAAAGTTGCTTAATTGCAGCAAAATATGTTCACTAGTGTGGTGCATGAAAATTGACTTTTATATCTTAATCTATTATATATCAAGGTTAAACATATACAAACTACACAAATTGCAACAATATAATATGTGAGTGTGTTTTTTACTCGTACCAACATAGGCTCAATGTTGTGTCTTGAACTTCTTTCTCAACATCACAACTATCATATTTATATATGATTAATACTAGCACAATTTTATCACTTATCATTAACATATTGGTAATTAGTTACATGTTTTTTTAATTTAGATTGGTTTATATTTGATCTATTCTTTTTTTAATCATTTCAAATCTCTCAATTTCAAGGTATCAATTAGTTTTGACAATTCTTTTCTTATAGCATTGTTGGGATAGAGAGAATTTGTTTTAAGAAAGAACTAAGATTCTGGCTATCTTTAATTGCTCAACCAAGTCTCAAGGTAAAAAAATACCAAGTTTATACATAAAGTTGTCCCTATAGGAGCAATTACATCAATACATAAGCCCTAAGTGCCAAAGATAATCCAAAATGTGATAAAAATATTCTAAAATCTTATATATCCTTAAGGTGAAATTTTTCTAAACTTCAATAGCTCATATCTCACGATTAGACCATCCAAACAAACCAAAATTTTATATGAAGTACTAATGTATTTTTAACATCTACCACAACAAATTTCAAATGCAAATTCATTACGGATCTTGATATATTGCCAAAGTCCTAACAATAGCTTCAAACCCTTGCATACATATACCCGAGTGTAATTTTCTTCATATCTCACAAATTAAGTACTTAAATACTATAAATTTTTGATATATGGCTTCTTAACCTATTAATACACACTTCTAGAAATTTTGAGCCAAAAATTCATCTGGAAACTCAAAATATGGCTCCAACCATTACTATCAACAAAATGACTTACTTACAGCCTTCAAATTACATGTGCTGTCTTCAATGTTCTATAACTCCTTCATACAAATTCCAAATATAGAAATTATTTTTCAAAAGACATAGATCTTGAAATCATCCTTGCAATCACATCTTTCAATCTCCAAAAGTTATTATACAATTCCTTGTATTTTAAAAAAAAAACAACAATATGTCTTAAAAAGACACCTTAACTTCAAATGGCTATAACTTCATTATTCTAACTCCAAATTCTTTAAACTTTTTACAAAAATTATATTCTAAATCCTAAATCTTATAACCCTTACTTTTGATTTTTATATTTTTCTTTTAAAATTGCCAAAATTCTTCTATCAAGGACATGAATTGAAAAAATATGCATAAACATATGAAATCTGTGTCAAAAGAAAAGTCACAAAATAGAAATAAAGAATTATGTATATTAAAAAGAAATTAGAATGGTTATTGCTTAAAGACAAGAAAACTAGAAATTCTTGAATCTAGACTAAAAGTAAGAAAGGAATTGAAAAGAATGAAGAAGATGTCACTCTTGTCTCTATATATATTATCTACGTAAGATTTATGTGGTGATATTCTATAGGACCTCCAAAAACGTATTAACTTTGTATGATATGTATCTTGACTTACAAAGGAAGTTTTCTAGATGGATGCTACATAGTTAGCTTATTTTGCAAGCTACCAACACATGTATTATATAGTTAGCTTGTTGACTAAGTTTCTAATGAATCAACTACAACCACCTATAAAGTCAAAATAGTATCTAAGAAGCTTCTAAGAAGCTCTTCTACAAGGTATTATGAAATTAATCTACTTTTACCTACTTCTACTTATTTATATTATCTAGGTAATAATTATAATAAATATATATTTGTGACATTACCTCCCTTTTTAAGGACAAGTTCTACGAGGAGCAGTAATTATATATTGAAGAAGTCTAAGATTCAACAAATTACATTTTCTACATATTCTAATCTTGATTCTCTATGAAGATGATTCATAGGTCCTCTCAACCATTGGTTATGTCCCATTCCAGGGCAAAAAGTCCACTCTATTATTTGATCATTATTGAAACCTTTGTAACTTCTTTCAAACAAAACATTCATAATACTATTAGGAATAGTGCCTACCTCTAATAAAAATACCAAATATTGAGAGTCTTTTTCTAGGTTGTGATATCAAACACATTGTATTTTACCATCTATTTAAGAAAAAACATGTTGTTCTTAAAGATCTTCATCACTATAATGTTATTTTAAAGGATGTGATAATTTTGATGTCTCGTCTGGTAAGTTAGCAAATGATGGCTTTTGAATTAAATCTGTCAGTTCTTAATTCTCCATTTCTTTAATTCCATAGTTATACAAAAACTAAAAATAAAGATAGAAGGTAGAATATAATCTTTTCTAAATTGTGTTTCTTTTACAACAAAGGTTTGCTATCATTTATCTTGATTTTGATAGATGTCATTGATAAAAAGCTTTGATCTTCTTTGCTGTATTTATAAGATTTTTTGTTGGATCCTATGTATGTTCACTAATATCATATTTGTGCCAATAGACAAGATATTCCAATTATTTCAACACCTCCTTGAGTTTAGAATTTCTTCTAGTTCAAACTCTTTATTATTATCTACTTCTGTAGGAGGAAGTAGGACTTGTCTTTTTCTTGGTATATTCATAGTCTAATATGATTCAAGAAGAGGCATGTGGAATACATGATAGATCTTTATTGATTCCAGTAGATGTAATTGATAAGCAATTAAATTGATTTGTCTACAAATAGGAAAAGGTTCAAGCCTATGGTAGTCCAACTTATGATAATGATGAGTAGTCTTCATATTACGATGAAGTAATCATATTTTGTCATCTACATTAAATTGTAGTTGTTCTTTTTAATAGGAATTTTCATTGATCTTTTGTCATTATTGAGCTTTCTTTAATTATGCCTTCATTCTTGTATATATCTCTGACAAATATTTTGCTAAATCTTTTATCGCAACATTATTAACTTTTAAAAAGTTAAAAATATCAAATTGTAGATGATTACTATAATTGACAAAAAAGGTGTTTATTGTATAGAAGATTACGTTGTATTATTAAATGCAAACTCTGCCAATGGCAAGAAGATTGTCCAATCGTCTTGTTTATAATTGATGAAATATCTTAAGTATTATTCCAAAACTTGATTTATGTGTTGTGTCTGTTGATTAGTTTGAAGATAAAATGTCAAAAAAAGCTTTATATCCATCTTTAGAATCTTAAAAAGGATTATCTAAAATCTTGATACAAATTGAGTCTCATTATCCAATATAATATCTTTTGACAATCCATGATATCAGTAGATATTGTTAAAGAAAAGCTTGGCAATTTCTTCACCTATGATAGATTTTGTGTATGGTATAAAATATTCTATTTTGATAAAATGAGCTTCTATGAAAAATATAGAATCATACAAACATGAGATTGAAAGATCCGTAATAAAATTTATAGAAACAAGAGACTATGGTTGTTCTTAAATAGATAATTGCTGAAGAAGTCTATAAGATTGATGATGAAGACTTTTTGATCTTGAACAAATGTCACATGATTGAATAAAGTCTTTTATAGCCTTCTACATTTGTGGCCACTAAAATTTTTTAAATATTAGCTCCAAAGTCTTGTTGTATCCAAAATGTCATGTTGTTAGAAAGTCATGACATGCTTGAAGAATTAACTCAAAAGAGCAGAATTTGATACTTGAAGAGGACTAGTTATTAACTTGGATCAAAATCAGATATTGACGCACAAAATTAGGCACCTATAGCAACTTTGGGTTTTTTTTTGTAGATCAAAGAATAAGATTTAAGAGAAAATTTGATAGAATTTCTTTAAATATTGAGTTTGAATAATTTCAGTATGTAATGATTTTGTAAGAGCTTTGCAAAGTCATAGTTGTTTTGGGTGATATAAGAATTCGTGAAATAAAAAAAGTATT